CTGGTACTTAACATGTCTGTTCTGTAAGGTATTTAATGCTAAGAACAGCACCTGTATTTCATCACCAGATCAATTTCTCATGTAGCCCTAGAACTCCTTCCTCTTCTACTGCAGCTCAGGACCTGGCGTGGTACATGCCTGCCATGTGTAAAGGAAATCCTACCATTTCAGAAGACTCTCTAACGTTGGCTGTGCTCTGCTTTTAAAAATCACATTTGCACCATTTCAGATAGAGGAAAAAATAAATAAATACAGAGATATAAGGGATTTTTAGTAGTTTAAAAATGTTGTCTTGTAATTTTATTTCCTTAACAACAGTACGGAACTTCCAGCCTACCAGCTCTTCTGCTGGAGTCACGGAGAATTCTAGGAGCAGAAAGACACTTTCACAATATCAATATGAAACTGGAAGAGGCTCTGGATGTACAAAGAGGAGAGCTATCAAAGAAAGATTAAGTGCTTTTTAATAGACTCTTTGACATTTGTTAGGAACAATTATTAGAATGGACAGTGTTTAAAGCTTGTTTAATCACTGTTGCTCTATTTTGCTTCAATGTTTAGTCAGCGATTTAATCAGAGATTGTATCTTTCTATTGTCAAATAGTCTGTGTGAGAACTTACTCACAATGTCAGTGAAATTAATGAAACAGCAATTCCAGTTAAAGTACTAAAGCTTTTCTGTGCTCTGTTAACTATGTTGGGGTTTATTCTTGGGCTATTAAACTAACATGATCTTTAAAGCAATATGCACTTTTAAAAGAGAACTCATAGACTTTAGTTGAATTAGTGAAAGATCTTTTTATTAGAATTGTATTTGAAATAAATTATTTTCTCCCTTTTCTGGAAGAAATCTATTTTACTTGGCTTATCAGTAAAACTTGGACATACAACTAACAACATAGAAACTGCACAGCAGAAAGTATTAAAAGTGCTAAACTTGGAGCAGCATTCATGATGAGTTTTCAGTCCAGTACTCTTCAGCCCCTGTGTAATCTTCCATGATCTCCTCATGCCTGTTGAAGATTATCCAATTGTGAGGATACTTGTTTGTTAGCAGTTACTCAGATCTTTGTCTTACAGCTCTGGAAGAGCATTTTTGAACTATATTGCAGTATCTTTCATAGAAGGCATACGATACGCAGGCTTCATTGCCAGCAGGCTATTTGCTAGCCAAGCCTGCGGTTAGCTGCCTTCCTCGCTGCAAGTGTCCTGTTTCCTTAAAGCTTCCAAAAGAACTTCATCAGGAATTTCTTCCATGGCGTAATTCAGACTATCATTTGCAGCTTCAGCTAGTTCCATATCTTCAGTAGCTTCTAGGAAATAGGCATCATCGCTTGCATTGTCCCACTCACTGTCTGACAACAGAAAGTCTTGAGACAAGCCTTTTTCTGTAGATACTGAGCTTTTTGACAAGTCTGACACATTAGAATGCAGTTTTACTTTTTCTTCTGTGTTCCCCCTTTCATCCATTAGTGTGTACTCTTCTTCCTTTCAGAAACAAGAATACTACTTATTCCATATGAAATTGGTCTTTATGCCTTGAACTGCTCAACTCTGAAAGTTTGAAACTCATACTGTCACATATAATGGATACTATAGAAAGCCAGCCAACAAGACAGACTTCCCAGCAGGTTAATTTAAAGCCACGTTACCCTGTGGTATACCCGGTTACCCTATTTTAATAGAAATGGAAACTTTCTGTTTTTCTAGCAAACTACAAGTAAGTAGTCTGTTGTATACAGCTTCTTAAAATAATACAAGGTTAAAACTAGTTTTAGTGTCTGTTTAAAGATAATATCAGGATGTGAAAATGCATTTAAACTGCCCTTTCTATGAAATAACAGCTATTGATGACCTGCTTAAGTAGAGCTTAATGTGCCATTCTGCAGTATGAAATTTTAAATTTACACTTTTAAAGGTGCAAAGATGCCAACTCTTAGTGCCCACTCAGTGGAAAAACTTATGTTCAGGGCTGAGAATCTAGGTGCAGTATCAGGTCAGTTTAAATATTTTACTCTTGTGGGTAAACACAACTGCTTTAATACACTAAAATGGAGTTATGTGAACTTCACAGTTGAAGGTCACTGACTTAAATTTGACTCTGACTCAAATGTTGCAGAAGCACTTCTATTTTAGCTGTCCCAGCATGAAGTCAAACATGTGCAGCAGAGCTGAACTTGGGGCAGCTTTTCCATTCTGCCCCTGTAGTGGTCTTGTGGTTTATGCACCAGGAACTGCTGTTCACACCAGAAGAAAATCATGAGTCCCAGGTGAAGTTGGGCTATTCTGGTGACTTAGCTTCATCTGTGCTGTGACAGTTTTTGTGCTAGATCTGCCGCTGGGGGATGTAAAAATGAATAGATGGAGCTGCTCTGAGGAGCTATTCTATACCAGTGTAACTACTGTATGGAGCTCAACAGACTGCATTAGTGGGGATTTTCAATGACTTCCAGAAGAACTTTAGCATATCCATAGGACAAAAACATACCTCTTTGAAAAGAAAAGGGAGACATATCCCAGGTGGTAATGGAAAACCTAAATAAAATATATGGCATTAAGTAAAGTTAGCATTCCAAAAAGTAGTAAGTATAATTGCTTTGAAATCACAGAATACATACTTTGTGATTTGAAGTTTTTTTCTCTGCAGACTGGATCGTGACACTTTTGATACCAGACTTCCTTCTTTAGATCTACTAGAATCCTAAGTATGAAATAATTTAGTTTTTAGTAATGGTACATAAATGAGGTGAATGCATACAGTATGAAACTCTGAACAGGTTTATTTTGCTCCCATATATTGCTTTCATACTCTGACATACTCATTACATACTTGTTTTGTATAGTCTGTTATTTTTTCACTAAACTTCAGGCTTCTTAAGTTAAAAATATTTCTTTTAAGACTAACATTCAAAAGTGAAATTTAGTTAACTTCATTACATTAAGCTTGGAAGAAAAAGTCATATAAGTAAGATTAGTAAATGGGACCTAACTGTAAGATAAGATTTTGTTGCTGCTGCTGTTACAGATAATTTCACTATAAAAGATAGCAAATTGCTATTTTCTATCAACTGATCAGACAACCCAGCTTTTTCAGCTGTGCTTTAGACATACCAAGCTTCAAGCAACTTGCTTTAGAAACACTAAGTTCATCCAGCATAGTGGCTGTAGGGTTTTTTTTTAATACCCGTATTTCTCAAAAACACATTCCTTATTTTTCAGTTATTTTAAATGTTTCTACTAATGATATACTGCAATTCTAATGTCTAAAAAACTCTGACTTTTCAACACATTTTTTGCTAAAACTAGAAGTCCAAGTCTGTAGAGTCATGAGCAAAACTCATCTTGACTGAAGTGGTGGCAGGAGTTACCTTTAACATCTTTAGGCATGTATTTTTAAATAGCATGACGACTTCATAGAGATATTAGAAATACGAGTTCAGTTATCACAAAGTAAATTGGGGTGGGGGGAAGTGGTTCTTTTTAAAAAACCCTACATTGTATCCCCACAGAGCAAGAGAGCAGAAATTCTAACAGGTGCTGATTCTATCCGTAAGAGATTTTCAGCATTTTTATAGAATAACAGTTGAGCAAGAAAATAAAGCAAGCAGTTTTAAAGTGAATAGTTAAAGAACATACATTATGTTGTTACTTTTGTGGGCTCTTCCAATATTTTCACACCAACGGTAACCAGAAATATCGTATACAAGTATTTCTTCCAGAAAGAAATAATTCCATTGCCGTATCCCTGGGGGGAAAAAAAATAGTAGTTAATTAATTCTTTAAAAATACTGCTGCAGAATACTCATTTGTAAATAGTAAAGTGGTCTTTACTTCCTTGCACTCCGTCTTTATTAACCAAAGAACGAACAAAATAATCAATTTCTGGATATGGTGAATCCTGATAACCTTCCATGGAATCTGTTAAGAGAAAGACCAAAGAAACATACTGTTACTGGTTTTGTCATTGTAATATGTAATTGTTACACATTATATATAGACCACAGACAGAAAATGTACTTGAATCACACCAAATTGTTAAATAAAACCAGGGATAAATCCAGTGTTAGTTTCCTCTAGATCTTTAAACCGCAACCCCCAACCCCCCAGCCTAAGGTACCGAGGGAACTGGGACAGAGCATGACAGCTATGGGAGCGGGAGAGGAGGGGAAATGGCACTGAAGTGCAGCAGAGCATCCTTCAGTACAGCTCTACTCTGCCTCCTGCAGAAAGCTCTCCCAGAGGTTATCAGGTAAGTCGCAGTACATCTAATTTAGAAGTACTTTTTTCCCTATACAGTAGAAAAGGCTTGAGGTACCTCTACTGCTTCTGGTGGTTTTACTGTTTAAAAAAGCGGACATTTTTCTCTCCTCCTCTGAAAGCCCAGATGACAGAACTTTTGTGTTATCTTTCACTCTGAAGAAAAGAGAGAATAACAAAGGAAAATGTGTGATTCTTACAGCATAACATAGTATGGAATAACATAACACAGTCCTGGGCCAGCAGCTGTAGGTGGCCTTGCTGGAGCAGGGGGTTGGACCAGACGACTTCCAGAGGTCCCTGCCAACCTCAGCCACCCTGTGAGCTTGTGTGCTACCTTTCACTATCATTACAGCACTTCTCATTGTGACAGTCTCCTCTGACTTACACCAGCAGAGGGCTGGGTTTCCTCCTTCAGAACAGCAAAATCAGTTTCCTGGCAAAAATCCCAGGACCCAGCCATTTAAAGAAACTTCATTATTGTATGTACCAGTATCCAGCCTAAGGAGGTATCTGTACCAAATGGGAAATCTGGTACGCAAGTAAACACGTACAAAAAATACTTTTAATTTTTTAATCATACTTTGAAAAATATTTAGACTCTTCATATTTAATTGACTGGGAATCTGTAACTTTTACTTTCAGAACTATACAGAATCCGACCAAAGTTAATAATGGTTACATTTTGGCATTTTGTGTATAGAGAAATGAAGGTAGGTTAAAAAAAAAAATTTAGAAGGAGTCCCAAGAAATTTTTTCTTCAAAAACAAGGAATTCTACTGGAAACTCCTCAATTACACTGTAACAGTGTTCATGGAATAACTGCCCATTGATAGTACTTATTTGTAATTGCTGCAGGAAAAAAAAACCACTGACGTATATATTTTAAAATATTTTAATTAGAATTAGACAATTACCTAATGTTGCAGATCAAAGAGGAAAGAAAATATGCTTCTTCCAAGGAAACATTCTCTTCACAGTTAGGGACAAACTTATTATCCTCTGCTATATTCAGAATCACATTTTTTCCTGCTTTTGATGATTTATACATCCGGAAATTTCTATTCCTTGTATAAACTCCTACAGGAAAACAGCTATTTCTTAACATAACAATGCTGGCTAGGAGTTACGGTACTTCGTACTTGTAAATTAAACATTTTTCCTTAGACCCAGCTAAGGGTGTAAGGAATGGACAAAAA